CTGCACGGCCCCTGCCCGGGCTGTTCCCCACCACCGGCACCAGGGCAGTGTGGCCTTCAGACGCCCCGCTCGCCTCCCCGGCACCCTCCTGGACGGCGTCCTTCCCCCCCCGCGCACCGCCGTGACGGGGTCCTACCCGCCAGCATCGGGGCAACGGCACCTTCGAGACGCCCGTGGGATTTCCGTGCCATGGCCAGTCGTAGCCTGGGCTGGACGCGAGGTCGAGCTCCCTCCGCAGCCGCAGCCAGCTCCTTCCCGGCAGCCAGGGCCTAGGGCTGGCTGCTCCTCTTTGGGATGGAGCTTCTCATTTTCTGCCATCAGTGACCTTTTTTAGCAATAGTTTCTTGTAAAACTCTGTGGCGTAGAGCTGGCGCTTGCACCACTCTGGGCAGAAGAGAAGGAGACAGCAAGTGTGACCACCATCCCTGTGCGCGGGGTCCAGCCCGCTGCCACCCCCCCAGCCCTTGCACCCCCCCAGCCCCACTCCAGAGAGCGGGATGAAGGCCGGGACACACGCCTGCACCGTGCCGAGCATCCCGCTCCCACCAGCAACCCCGGAACGGCCTCCTCAAAACCCATGGTGCTCTGTCTGGAGGAGAGAGGACAATTCCTAACACCTCGAAACAATGTGGTTCTTCTGTTCCCGTGTTAGACAGGCAGCTCTGCCCGCCGGGGTGCCCGCGCGCGAGCCTTTGTGCTGATCATAAGACCCATTGTCTGTGGCGTGAATCTCGGGAATTAAACATGAAGCATCATTAAAGCACAACGTTCTGTGGAAAGAAAAATCGGTATGAGCAGGATGCTGAGAAAGGGAAATAATTATCCCATAGGAAAATGCAGACCCACAAAAGGTGATGTTTGCCATGAACGGCCACCAGGTTTTAATCCATCCCATAAATTACTTGATTCAAATGTTTCCAGGAGGAGACAAATCTCTCCCTCTCCCTGTCACCGTGTCACCTGTCCACACTCCGTATTTATTGTGGGGTCCCGGGAAACAACCTCGAATGGCCTCACGCCCGCAGCCCCGGCACCCTGGCACCTTTCTCTGGGATTAAACCATGCTTGGGGCGAAATGGGTGGCTGTGCTCCGCTGTCCCCCGAACAGGCATTGCCTCTCCCCGCATCCCTGGGGCGAACGGCCGGGAGCAGAGCCTGCAGGGTCAAATGAAGGGCCCAAGCAGGGCAGGGGGAGCAAATGCCATCGCGGCTGTCACGGAGGGGCTGATCCCAGGGGCGGGGGGGGCACGCCACAGGAGGAAGGGGAGGAAGGCTCTCGTGTAGGGAGGGGGCACGCCGCGGGAGGAAGGGGAGGAAGGCTCTCGTGTGGGGTCTGCGCCGTGGGTGTTTGCAAGGAGCAAGGAGCAGGGTCAAATGAAGGGCCCAAGCAGGGCAGGGGGAGCAAATGCCATCGCGGCTGTCACGGAGGGGCTGATCCCAGGGGCGGGGGGGGCACGCCACAGGAGGAAGGGGAGGAAGGCTCTCGTGTGGGGTCTGCCGGGGGAGCGGTGGGTGTTTGCAAGGAGACTCCCCTGGGGAAGGCAGAAGTCCCTCCCGCAACTCTCAGCACTGGCCCTGCGAGCCTGGATTAGAAAATAAACCCATTAGAGGGAGAAATCATCCTCATCAATTTTTGTCACTTTAAATAAGACAGAAGGGGTCTTTCTAGGTGGAAAGGCTGAGCCTGTTTGGAGGTTCCATCTGCTGAGCACCTGGTTTATCTGGGTGTGAGAAATACTCCTGTGGATTAGGGCATGAGGCTGCTCAAGAGACGCCACAGGAAGGGGCTGTCGTTGCTTTGTCAGCGCGTTGCTGGGCTGTCCCTCGAGGACCTGCAGGACTGGGGGGAAAGCCTCTCGATTGAGATACATATATTTCAGGTGAACGAAGTGCGTCGAGGAAGGAGAGCCATTAAAGAAGCTCCCCATCAAGAGCTCCAGGACCGGGAAGTGATTTTGTACAGAGACCCCCTGGGCTAAGGCGGCGGGTGGCTGCGGCGGGGGGGCACGGGGGGGC